AAATAGGGTCAGTCTGATCAGAGTATAGCATACAAACACATACAGACCGCTTTTAAAATCTTTATGCAATTGTTTTTGCTCAAGTGAGTTCATTGCCCTTGTTATTGGAGTACTTGAGTACTTATTGAAGTCGTATAAAATATATAAGTTTGTCTTACGACAAGTAAACCTCTGCTCTTGCTATGATATATATTTTTTACTCTTACTTTAATTTTTTTTTCATGACATGAACGTTTAATTTGACACTGGTCAAGAAGGGCATGTAAGTAAGTCTTGTAACTTCTTATACTAAACGACTTTAGTATATCATGGATCTTGTATTTTTTGACGTAGCCAGAGGCGCGCTTATAAGCTTTTGTATTTAATTTATGCCCGCCATATCACATAAGATTGTCAGTCTGTATACAGTCTGTGTGTACAGGAAGGCTCATTTCTCCTAACGTACTCGTGGATGTGGACAGCATTTTTTCGCCGGCCCAATGATCTGACACAACCTGACACTTACGCAATATATCTTATCTCTTTCTCACGGAATACACAGATTTCGTAATTATTAACGATCTCTAAACTGTATATATTTGATAGTTACGCCTATCTATTTATTTATAGTTACATTTGAAAAATCTTAGATATTCGGTTAATCCGGATTATACGAATAGTCGTATCGGTAGACCTATTTAATTGAATAACGATATTAGGGTTATAATGCGGTAAAAACGTAGAGTTTCGTAGCGTTGCATAAACTAGACAAATAAGTAGTAAAAATAAAAAACTTTATTTTTGCTTATAAGTTTCTTTTGGAAGGTTATGTACTGTAATCTTTTATTTTATCATCCTCTATCTCTATGTAACTCTTTCGGAGCCTTTACATAAAGACAACGCCACTAATTTGCTTTTATGCATGAATACGCATAAAAATATAATAAGCTACAGCTGTTGTCAGTTATAACTAAGTGCTTGCTAATGGTCGTTAGCCAAAAGTGCCAAAAGTATGTTCGTATAAACTCGAAAGTCAAATCGTGACCTCATAACTTAGTTACATTTATTAGTTTGCTCTTTCTCCACTAAAATAAAACACGCTAAGCAGTGTTTAGTTCAACACATTGCAATATTAGAATGTGCGAGAGTAACAGATTATTGTTTCAATGTTCACAAAGGTCAATAGATCAGATGTTACGAAGCGGGTGTTTATATTGCATTATTCACCATAACTTTTTTATTGCCTCACTAAATGCCGAAATGTGTTGCGCCTTAAGTATTAACATTTAAATTATTCAACATTTCAATATTTCTTCAGCTGGACATAAAGTCTCTCAACGTTTGTCAATCTCATAAAATTATATGTGGTGTCGTGGTGGGCACAATAAAAGATTTTTTTCCGCAATTTATTATTTTATTCTCTATTTTAATGTTTCTTATTATTTAAACGCGTCCTGTCTAGCTGTCTTTCCGCTCGACTATATCTCTCCCTTTTTCTCTCAAACATCCATCTCCTTTTATCCAATCAGCCGTACATGCCTCTCAATCTTATTCATCTATCATTGTTTTACGTTCGGAAACCACAGACCTACATATATATATTCTTAAATCGGTAAAGGTAAATTATTGGGAGTGTTCTATATACTTAACTAAGAGGGTTAGACAAGGTGCATCGCGATTCTATAACGAACTTAAAAAATGTATGGAACTGATAATAACTTTCGATAAGTCACGTGATTGTCGCGCGTCAGTTCCAAACAATTTTGAAGTTTGCTATAGAATCGTTTCAAAGCGAATTGCATTTTGCCTAAGTAATAAACTCATAACTGCAGGAAATACAAAAAATGGAAGAAGAAATTGACCGTATTTTTCTGCTAGCGACAAGGGAAATATTTAAGATGCTATAATTTTAATTTTTTTGTATGATAGATTGCACAACTACTAAGCTGTTTTTAATACACATTTTAAATGTGAATATTTCATTTAAACTCTCCAAATGACATAATCACCTAGTGTATACCATTTGGGGGCTCTAAATCAATGAACTAAAAATTATTTTAATCATAATTATTCACCGTTTTAAATTTTAAAATAATACGTTATCCAACAGACGTGTCGAAAAGGTTTTCGCGTAAAAATTCTTACGGAACGGATTTTAAATTATTATAAATTGTATAAAGGTTGTCGACTTCTGTAAATACCAGTTATGTAAAAGTTTAATTGAACCACGTCACTGCATGTTTCAAAAACTTACTGTGATCAATTATTTCGGGGGTCACTGAACTCTCGGCTTATGGAATTTTACTGTTTGTTTTTATACTGTGATGGCGTCTGTTAAATTATTTCCGTCTTTGCTCTATAGAAGTAACTTTTAAGTCAAAGGTTAATTAATAATCCCGTATGTTGTCACGTATTTAAATCTTATCCGAAGTAGAGTTCAGAATGTTAATTGATTTTAAGAAAATAATTCATCTAATATTATAAACACTGGCAACTAATGATTTACATAATCTAGGAATGTGACGTTTAGAAATTTAAGTCTTTGTTTATGGTTAAAAATTGTAGTCAATAGCTTTTTTTTTAAAAAACCATCACCAATCGTTTAAAATTAATTCACGCCAAAAAAATATTTAAACAAAATTTTTTTTCCCATACAAAGCTAAAACGATTAAATTACTGTCATTTAATTAAAACAATTTAATATTTTTATAATAATTATTATAATTAATAGACATTTTGCATAAGAAATGTTTATTTTTTCTGTTAAAACGTGACATCCCTATTTCTGATCAATGATTCGATGACCGGAACCTGTCTCCAGCTGTTGATTGATATAGACACACGTAATGACAGCGACTAAGTACGTGACGTGTCGTGTCGTGACGTACAGTGACGTATCGTGTTGGTAATGGAGACGGATACGTTTTGATATGCTGTTTCAATAATGTAATGTTATGTAATGGTTGTTAGTTATATTTTTACTAACTCTTTTACTTTTGTATATAAAGGGAAGTCAATATTGTGTTCAATAATTTGTATAATACAAAAAATTTATTAAGTTTACAATTGTAAGCAATTGCTAAAGATAAATTCCCGCGTAATTTTCTCGTATGACATGTATTGTTCAAATTCAATAGTTTATTGTCTTTAAAATTGCTATTTACCATTGTCTGGTTTATTTCATAACCAATAATCGTTGTAACCTTACGAACCTTAAAGTTTTTATTCATATCTTGCCGACAGCAAACGACGACATTATTTTTACCTTTTCAACATCGCGAATTATTTTCTACCTCGTATCTGTAAAGTGTAACTGCACTAATTTTAAAAACAAATTGCCTTTAATACATTGCTGCTTATGCATACAAATGTTCAAATTTACTTTTCATGTCTGCAGCAATGTATCAGTAAATAAGCTTTCTCATCACCAATTTAAGTGGCGAAGAATTGACGTAACGTACGTGACAATGTGCCCGTTGGATTGTAGAGGGCGCTAGAGTGCTTTCGTGCTAGAAATACAAAGTACCACTTCTCGTCCTTTTTAAGTATGCTGATGACATTGAGTAATAGGGACATGTTTGTCAGTAATTAGGTAATACTTATGTGTAAAGAATTACCGATTAAATAAGTTTATTTTGATCTTTTCCTTTTATTACGGTAATACAATTAACACGACATTTATTAACATTAATAAGCGTGTTCTTTATACATTTATTAGTAAGTATATGGAATGATAAAATTAGGTTTAATATTCACTTTAAAGTAGCAAACATAGCGCAATGAACTGATATATTTCCCCTAGAAGTTGACCACGTCATAACAAGAAAGGTCTTAAAATTTATCTATGATTTATTGACCCCAACCTGCATGTTTAGTGGTCACGTTTATCCGCGTGTCGAGTGTACTAAGCAGCCAAAAACACATCGACAAGGTCTAGTTGGCCATTAGTACACTTGAATCGGTCGTGTGCTATTTTCTCTGGTCATAGTGTACGCGGCTCGCGTTTGTAACGCATTGTCCTAGATGGCATCGTTATACTGAATTTAAATATTATGATGTAATCAGAACGATGAGAGAATCATTTATGTTTTATATACATTGTTAATTTTTAATTGTTCATAGTACAATTTGCTTTTTTATTACGCAACTAGCGTTTGCCCGCGATACCGTCCTCACGGAATTTATAAACTTAGCAAATAATCTATGAGTTCTTCATGATTATGTTCTATATGTGACTTAGACCCTTGAGCCGTTCTGGAGATACCTTCTATGATCCATTCATCCATCCATCTTATCTTTTGTATTTATAAGTGATATTAAAATGATGTTTTACATTTTTTAGGGTTCCGTACCTCATAGGAAAAAAACGGAACCCTTATAGGATCACTTTGTTTAATGACAGAAAGAGGATTATAGGTTAGGTTATTTTTCCTTTTACGGTTAAAATAACGAATTAAATGCAATAAAAAAAGATTAATATTGATGTAAACAGACAATTATAGTTCATCCAAATATTATGATTGTGCATTGATTGACATAACTTCAATGGTTCTGAACTTTGATCACAGTCTTACAATATACAAATCGTAAAGCTTTTATTAGTCGTTTTACAACGTCGTAAACAAACCAGTAACGACGCATTGTGTACACGCCTTTATATAATATCGAACTTGTGTAGACGTGCCTTACAATGGTTATATTAGGTCTTAGTGTTTGTGGTAATGGTCGGTACAAATGTGTTTTGTGTTCCACTGTACACACGTGACTCGATGCTTAATGTAACTGATAGTACAGAACACCTTATATGGAAAACGTTTCTTAAGCACTAACTGTTACGAATCGTGTATTTTGTCGTTGAGTATACTTAAGTTCCCTTTAGAAATACTGACCATAGACATCATGAAGTAAACACCTAAAAATATCTATGCTAAGTACTTTATTGTTACTTAAGTATTATTTTAAAATCTTTGGAGTAAAATCTGCCTGATTGATTACAATTTAACTATATAATCTTATCTTAGTGGCAGTCAATCCAGTACCTGCCTCGCAAGTCGAACGTACGTCGCCAGCGCGCCATCCCGGCTAGCACGCCGTTCCCGTGCGAAGACTCGCTAGCGTGGGGACGCAGTCGGCAGCGGCCGCGCTCCGTTCACCGCCTGCGCCCCGGGGACATCGATGTAGTCGCCGCCATCGGGGATTCCCTCGTCGCTGGCAGCGGAGCCCTAGAGGAGTTCGCGCTTGGTGCTATCGTTGAGTACAGAGGCGTGTCCTGGTGTGCAGGTAACACTCAGATTTCAGACACAGTGTCGTCACATAGTGATTATTTGTTTTTATCAATGTACACATCCAATATGCTTTATCATTCCAGGGGGAGACAGCACGTGGCGCGAGTTCCTGACGCTCCCCAATATCCTAAAGGAATATAACCCTGGGCTACGCGGCTACGCCACTGGCACAGGCGAGTGGCTGGCTCGTAATTCGCGTTTCAATGTCGCCTTCCCTGTTGCTTCCGACGAGGATGCCTATAAGCAGGCTAAAGTAAGTGTTGAATAAACTATCAAGCAGAGAAAAGAAAAATATTATTCGATAGAATAGAGTCGCGAGTCTCAAAACTCGAAGACAAATGTCTTGCATCAGTTCAATCAGTTCATCAGTCAAACTTGTTTGCATCAGTTCAATCAGTTCATCAGTCAAACTTGTTTGCATCAGTTCAATCAGTTCATCAGTCAAACTTGTTTGCATCAGTTCAATCAGTTCATCAGTCAAACTTGTTTGCATCAGTTCAATGTCTCTTTCTTAGTATTATATTAGAGTATTTCATTGACTTATAATGTAGTAGTCAAAATTGCGCTTTCTAATTGCACTGTTCATAAGTAGCATTAGTTGCAGGATGGATTTGATTTCGTCATATCGTCGTTGTAAATGTCGATCTTCAATGCCGATATCTATACGTTGTAACATTAGCTAAATTACATGTATATCCTACAGACAAACCAAATAAAAACTACTACGTGTAAATCCTGTTGTTGAAATGTTTTTGACTTACATTTTTATCGTGTTTAAGGAAGTAGGTGTTTAATTAAAGCAATTTTGTAATAGAACAATTTACAATTATTTTGCTAGCTGTACACTTTAGTTCTGGGTGACGTCACATGGTTATTAATTTGACAAAGACCTATTTCTCTCGGGTAATTTTATTTAAAACAAATCAAAGCATGGAACTGTATTTCTTTTTGCCAATAGCACGGAATAAATAAAATCTTTATTTAAAAGAGAACTTAATAGTAAAATCCAGAATGTTTGTTTTTTGTGTTGTAATAAATATTTTGAAAGTAACAGAGTACAAGTCTGTCCGGGAGTGCGGCCCCAGACGTTGTTTACTGCGGCCCTCAAGCCGTGACGTCACATCCTTCACGCGGCTTTCTCTCGCGTTCCCCATAACCTAAACTAGTTAGTTTAACAAAAACACCGTGTACAAGATAAATACATTACGAACGTAATCATCGTGTTGCTATGACACGGATTCTTACTCCGAGTACGTAAAGTTATACTAAAGTTTTCGTTCCATGTCCTGTTGTACCACAGATAATGAAAACAAAGAGTGGTTGTCAACTACTGAAAATAATTACAACTGCATGTTGCCATCTCACTCACTCTCCTTTAAAAGACAGAGATAGCAATATGTTGTATAAAGTTGCATGTTTTTAGGTTCACTGATGCGAAACATGAAGACATTTACTCTTCTTTCACTTTATGATTTTGTGTATGAAGTTCCAAGGATGATTTCAAACTTATAATTGAATATCAGGAATGTTTGATCACTATGGTTTTCGTTCCAACAGCGTTACCAACATAGTGAAGAGATACCAAAATGTCTGCATAAAACATATCGTCATCCATCATAGAGATGATACTATTTTTACACGGATATTTGGTTTCAGAAACCCACAGTTATTCATGTTAAACCTGTAAGTGGGTAATTGCACGTATCATATAATAGCTTATTAAATCTGACCTCACGCTTAATTTTTGAAGCGTGAATAAAATTTTCCAAACACATTACAATTCGTGACGCAAGTCGAAGACACAGTTGCAGAAAATCGACAGATACACGAAAAAAATATAAAACATGGCATTAAATGTTTATTAAATTTTTAAACATTATTAAAATTAAATTTACAATTTTCAATTTCAATTTGTTATAAAGAATAATGTAAAAATTTTAAGAAAAAAATATTCAACCAACAGTCAACGTCTCTACCACTGTTAAGTACATAATCTTAAAAACATCCAAAGTCCCATATTCTTTTAACATGGCGAACAGAATCAGGACGCGAGGATGTCGCGTCGCACGCTTTTTGCGAGTTTGTCTTCTATAGCCACCTTATTATAACAAACATGAGGCATAATTTACCATACCAAGCATTGATTTAACGATTTTTGAGGTAAAAGAGGGCCTCAAGTAGTCTTCAACTTGCAGATCCTGGTGGCTCGGATGCGAGCGTCACCCGACATCGATATGGAGAGAGACTGGAAGATGGTTACAGTGTTCATCGGCGCCAATGATTTGTGTTCGGCGTCCTGCTTATCGCCCGTGGCGTGGTCGCCCGCCGCACATGCTCGCAAGCTTGCGCGCGCGCTTGACTATTTCTACGACCATCTACCCAGGACCATTGTCAATCTTATTCCTGTATTAGGTGAGGCGACTGACCTTTATATTTAGGATACTTGATTCAGTTATTATTTTTTGTAGAGCTAATATAATTAATGAAACTGATCCCCGAATTTTCCATTGACTTTTTACAAAATGACTGCAATCAGTTTTTCGTCATAATTTTGACGGAAGCATTGTTTCAATTGTCTTCTTTGAGTTTTGCTTAGATACTTATGTGTGTGCGTGTGTGTGTGTGTGTGCGTGCAGACGTGTCTGTGTCTGTGCGCGTGGTGCGGCCGCTGATGTGCCGGCTGATGCACTCGCTGTTCTGCACGTGCTTCCACCGCGGCGGCGGCGAGCTGGCGGACCTCGTGCACATGGCCAGGCTCTACCAGAAGGCTGAAGTCGCACTGGTCAGTTAACACATTTAAATATCCTCACTACACATTTGTACACAACACCACCCTCGGCCTACAGAACCGGCGTTACTATTACCGTATCTTTTCTGGTCAATTTAATATCTAGCTTTAAGGTAACCTTGCCACTGCATATAGAACTTTATCTATCTATAGTTACGGTTGATATTATTCAGGTGGAGAGCGGTCGTTACGATGGTCGCGAGGACTTCACGGTGGTGGTGCAGCCATTCATGCGACTGTTCAACGCCCCGCCCGCACCCCGACACCCCCTCCCCCTCGTCATACATCGCTCATACATCACACACGACTGCTTCCACTTCTCACAGAAAGGACACGCACTCGGTAAGTCATTATTGGATTTACGAAACCTGAAACGGCACTCGTCTAATAGTTTTATAATTTTTTAATACAGTCCAAGCTCAGGTTAACAATTTTGTCTGCAACATACGTAACATAACATAGTTTCTTTCTAAACAAAAGGTGTACCCCCCTGTAGCTTTTTGTCTAGTCATGATTAGTAGATAGATCTAGTCAGATACATATAATTAAACTCTTATCCATGTATCTCAGCTGCGAACCTGTTGTGGAACAATCTGCTGGAGCCAGTGGGCAATAAGTCTGACAACGTGCCGCCAGTCCTGCTCAAGTCTTTCCGCTGTCCAACACCACAGGCGCCCTTCTTCTTCACAGCGAACAACTCCCGCACCTTCCTCCTCACAGGGAGACAGGACGGCGCTGATCTTTTATGACATCAAAACATTTTTGTTGAAAGATAAATAATTGATATTAACGCCATCTAGTTTAAATTAGGAAAATTTAATTCGGAATTACTTTCATTAATTAATTTAACTTTTATTAAATGTATATAATTAATTATGTTTTCTCACAAATTATAAAAGTATCCTTGTTAAGAAAATTATTTCAACAGAGTAGACCGAAAGATACATTGCTTTTGTTATTGATAAAAAGATTAAAAAAAATAATACACAAGTTCCCGCTCTTACTCTGAAAACGTTTATGAGCTTATTAAATTAAGATATAATTGTTAGTAAATATTATATACTAATATATAATTTAGTTTAATTTTCAAAATAGTATTTAAAGTTTACCAAATACTGAATATAGTTTAGTTAAAATTTCAAGAAAAAGCGCCATCACGAAGACACGCGCCTTCGTGACGTCATTCACAACATGTGTCAAGTGTGACATTTGTTGGTGTACATTACGTCCACTAGGAGCGCTGCAATCATTATGTCGATGTTAGATAAACGTCTTCCCGAATATTGGTAGTCGACTCTCTGAATGAATGTATGTTTGGCTGTTGAATGTCGAAATCATAAATTGCTCAATTTACTAGTCTTAACTCTATTAGAAAATCTCGTACCGCGCTTCGACCCTATCATTTGGTCCAATCCATTTTGTTATTTTTGTAAATTTTATTTAAAACAGCATATTTTAGTATGTAATAGGGAAATACCTCATTATTATTAAGGGTTATTTTTTAAAACAATAAAACCCAAATTTTACAAAATGTTATATTATTTAATGGTATAATTTCTAAAAAAAAAATTTTGCATGATGTCTAATTTTGGATATTTTGTTAATTTTCTATTAAGGTACCATTAATTAATAAAATCCCTAGTTTTATTAGTGCCATTAATAATTGTTATCAAATTTGAACAAACTGTGACGTTATGTATTTTTGGTTAATAAATTTATTGCATTTTATATTTGTTTTACTTTTACGCGTTGCCAACCACTAGAGCTATGTTTAGTCGACATGCAAATTAACATAACAGCTTTAATATAACAGTTAAAAATTATATACCACAGTGATATAATTTTTTTAAATATATTTCATTTCAGACGCTTCACTTAACCGACTCCTGTTGAAAATGAATAGCATAAATGTGTTTACGCCTTTTTTGTGGAAATGAAAAAGGCGTAAACATAATAATGTCATATTTTTTTAAGCGTTGCAGCCGGATTTATTTTTCATTATAATTGAACATTTATACACTTTTGTACAAATTAATTTGAATAAAACTGTTGTAATGTTAATGTTTAGTATTTGAAATGGTTGCTTAATTCAAAAATCATCACACTCAACTTTTAAAGTGATCAATCATATACGATAGATGTCGCTATTATCTTCGCGTGAGTAAAGACACGGTCGCGCTCCTTGTTCGTATCGGGATAGCATTTGGATGTTTTTGTCTACATACATACGACATACCAGTCAAACAATGCGATGTGATTTCACGGCTCGTTTGCCGCGCCCGAGCCGAGCCCATGTCTGGATGAGCTATGATCTATTTCAATAACATTTAAACAAATATAGTCGATGATATTAAAAAGATCACAATGGAAAAAAACATCTTAAAATCTCCATTTATTGAAAAAAAAGAAAGAAAACATTTATTACCACAAATAAAGTATAGGCACAAAATAATATCGCGAAGTTTGTTAGATTTTCAAAAAAAAATAAACACCCTAGTAATTTTTCTCTTAAGTGCAAAACAAAAAATTTCTACATTCACACAGTTGTTATGTTATGTTGTTATGTTTCACATACATAGTTGTTATAATCACTAATGTGGCCTTGTGCTTTTTCTCTATATATGGTATTTAATCTTACGCTGACTTTTTTAAAACGAGAACTGATCTGAATGTAATTTACTAAAGTGACAAAGAGAGAAAGCGACGAAGGGAATACCTAGTTACGATACCGTTTGTTATGGTAATATCACTATTGCCTACTATATTAATATCTAATTCCAAATTTTCCAACTTTCATTCAGCTTTTAAAATGAACACCGAAAGATATATTTTGAAAGCATCGATGGAATGAATGAAGATATAAAGTAAGGGCAAAACCTAAAAGGGAAAAAACAATATCAGTATGTATTTAACACTTGCAGTACTAAAACTGAATATTAATTACACAAAGTAAAATAGTTTTGTGCTAAATATAAAACCATTTCAATCGACCTAAACAAACTGTAATTAGATGAATCATAGAAAATAACATCCAGCAGAAATATAACATCTATTGCTATAGTTTTAAAAGATATAATCGCTTGAATAATAAGCCATATGGTCTTTCTAATTAGGTATAGTAATGTCTACAGTCCGCATATGGCTGCTGGCGGCGCTCCTCAAGTGCAAGGAACCAATTGCCTTCAATTGCTTTGCAGACTGATCGCTGATAATCCATTGTTATCCAATCAGATGAGTAAAGACGAAACAAATATTGTATACGCCAAATACATGTTACACTCTGTTAGTTTATTTCTTAAATTACTAGACTATGCATTCGACTAAATATTAGTATCGCTTGTGATCATTATAAATGCGAATGTTTAGATGGTTGGATGAATGTTGGTTTGAAGGTATCTCCAGTATGGATGCATGGGTCTAGCTTAAATTTGGCACAGATGTAGAACATAGTCTGAAAGAACATATACGCTATTAATTATGTTTTTTAATGCCGCGTGGACAGAGTCGGGGCGACAGTTAGTTTTCCGAAATTTTCTGTCTTATGTTTCTGGAGGTTATTGATGACATCAACAGTAGACGACGTAATATATCTTCAAATAACAAGCCTTGATTAACTAAAGTATTAAGCTTTGTGCTCTAATTTCTAAATTATTTTCTTTTTGGTGCTTGATTATTATATGGTAAATTAATTATGTAATTTAGTAAAAAGTTCAGTTTACGATGTAACATGTTGCAACTAGTCACGTCAATCAGTTACAAACACGCAACTTATACATGGGGTGGAAACAACCCTGAGGGTTGTAGGAATTTCATTTGAGGGTTGATGGCATACATTAAAATTTCTTAGAAAGTGCATACTTTGACATTAAGAATTTAAGAAATGAAAATAAAGTTAATCTTTCAACTTATTGAGTAAAATTAGTTGCAATATATAAATCTAAATTCCATGTGTTAGCATGAATTTTAGATTTTTTTGTTAATTTAAAAGATGTGGCTCTAATTATAACAATATCATCACAATTTTTAACTTCAAAATGTTTAAACATTATGTTTTCGCAACTTGTTAAACAGTAAAGTAAAGAAAATATAATATAATAAACACAAAGAGTGTAAAAAATCGATATATCCCAAAACAAACAGCAGCGAAGTTCAAGGTCCCCCAGATGTGTACATCCCTTCGACATACATTCATCCCAACCCCTGCTATTGCAAGGGTGGCCATGAACAAAGCAAACTATAGAGTAGAGCGTATTTCTACGTGCCAAGCTTTTGTTTTATAAAATACTAGTTGTAGTCCGCGACTCCGTCGGCGCAGTATTAAAAAGAACATAATTACTAGCCTATGTTTCCTTCCAGACTATGTTCTACATATATATGCCAAATTTCATAAATCTTACACTAAAATTTAGTTTTGAATTGAAAGTTACTTATGTTTTTAAAATGTAGCATTAAAAATAATATAAGTAAATAAAATTAAGTTTAAATATTTCAAAAGTTAATTAAAGAAATCATGAACACGACGTTTTTAGGTTAAATTTAAAAATGGGATATAGTTATAAGTATTTAAAAACTAGGTTATCAAATACCAATCGTTACTCAGGGTTACTGTAATTTACTTAAGTTCTTAAAATATCTAAATTTGCTTTTAGAAACCTAAGTAAAAACTCCAAACTCCATTAAATGATTGCAAATAAGACGAGTGATATATGAGAATTAAAAAAAATGTAAAACAAACATTGTGTTAACTCATTGTCTTCCTGTAAGATTTACATTTGTTCTTATTAATTTAATTTTAGATGTTCTCAGTTTGGGGTTAGTCATGAAAGTTGGTTAGTCACTCACACGAGCCATCTTACGGGCTTCTTTGGATACTCTATACTACGCGCTTTGGCGGACTTATTCTGGCCAGCAAAAACGATATCGTTAAACCAAAAGAATAATCTAATCTTTTTACCTTCATATTTTAAAATAATCTTTCATGCAAGCAATCCTGTTTAAAACTTGATTATCAAATTTTAACAGAAGTAAAATAAAACCAGCACATTTTAAAACATTTAAAAGTGCGTCCATTTTTTTATTTATCAGTGTTTTATTTGTTTTCTTCACAAACGCGGGTTTTCGCTAGCTATATAATAAAGCTGTGGACAAATCCAACGAATTAAAATTTCTTTAGGTTTATCAAATATTCGTAAATACATATTAATATATTTTTAAATTGCGATCTAGCAGCTATATGGCTGAGATGTACCAGAATAATCAGTGTTGGCTATAAAAGCGGGCGTAGTGCCGGCGGGGGCACAGTCGGGCCCGGTGCGTTGCCTAGCGAACCCGCCAAGCCACTTCTTTTTCTTCCATACAAGGAACACATAATCCAGACAAAATGGTAAGTCGTCACGTCTTACACTGTCAACATATTCCAGAATTTTCCTCAACGCGAAAAAAAAATAAATTTAATTTTATAGAATGCAGGCGACGGGAGTTTCAGGATGACCTCTTAACATTTTTTTTCAGCAGCTTTTGCATTTCGTTATAAAATTAATTTTAACATTATACAGTATTTAATATTTTTTATTTAACTGAATTAAAGTAAATTAAAAACTTTTATCTTAAAATGCAAGTTTTTAATATTTAATTACGGAATCAAATTAGTAGCCCGTTAAAACTTAATTAAACTTTAATTAAAATATAAGGTAAAACAAAGCCCAGTTTTCATAAACACTACGAAACCATCTAAAATATAAAATAGAACTTGCATTACAGTCAATAGAAAAAGTCTAATTCCCATGGACGCAGTCTCTAT